CTTCCTACACACATGAAAGGGTGTCAGGCTGCAGGTTACTCACCCCTATCTTAGCTGACAAGCAGATTCCTATCTGGGGTGGGATTGTTCTTTAAGTATCTTGGTCCTAAACCACTTTAAAAGCTTTCAAAATAACGACCAGCACTTTGAAGAAAGCCTGGGAACAGCTAGACCTGAAGCAAGAAGTATAATTTGCTTTTAGGTCACGTATACATGTTTTGTTTTAGGCACCATCTCAGAAAAGGCATTCTTCTTTTGTGTGTGGGCTGGGGGGGTGCAGGGGGAGAGACAATGTGTATGAGAGAAAAAGAAGATTAAGTGCCTTTCTTAATATAGTTCTTGAAAATCTACAATTTTAATAAGTTATTATGTTAGTTTCTTTTTAATCTGCTGCCCAATTAATCAGAGATATCTTTTTAGCTCATTAAAGGATTTGCCAATAATTACATTCACTGCATCTGAATGCTGCCTTTCTGTAAAGATTACAATGAAAGCAGTCTAATAGATTAAAAAATTAAACATTACAGGCTACCCCCCCAAAAAAAATCCACCACACATATCTCATTAGCAGAAGTTTGTAAATTCACTTGGCAAGAATAGGTTCCAGGTGACTATGTAGGGGAAGGTTTTCAAAAGCCAAGGTGGGTTTTCCCCTTTAAATGACTAACACAGGTATGTGAGAGTAGGTGAGTTATAATTTTTTTGTGGACTACTAATTTTTGTAGATTTATTTGCAAGTTTACTTTGTTGCTGTTTAGTTGTTTAGTCATGTCCGACTCTTCGTGACCCCATGGACCAGAGCACACCAGGCACTCCTGTCCTCCACTGCTTCCAACAGTTTGGTCAAACTCATGCTGGTAGCTTCGAGAACACTGTCCAACCATCTCATCCTCTGTCGTCCCCTTCTCCTGGTGCCCTCAATCTTTCCCAGCATCAGGGTCTTTTCCAGGGAGTCTTCTCTTCTCATGACGTGGCCAAAGTATTGGAGCCTCAGCTTCAGGATCTGTCCTTCCAGTGGGCACTCAGGGCTGATTTCCTTCAGAATGGATAGGTTTGATCTTCTTGCAGTCCATGGGACTCTCAAGAGTCTCCTCCAGCACCATAATTCAAAAGCATCAATTCTTAGGCGATCAGCCTTCTTTATGGTCCAGCTCTCACTTCCATACATCACTACTGGGAAAACCATAGCTTTAATTTAGCTATACGAACCTTAAGTTTAGTTTAGGGCCTTGCAAATAACAAGCGGTTATTTTTAACATCTGAGTAAACAATCCATTTGACATGGAGATATTGTAAATATCTGAACCATCTTTGATTCACTCAATTTTTTTTGATGTTTTGATCATGCAATTTTAAAAGTATTTTTACAAGTTTGATAATTTCATCTCTCTTCCATAGTTGCACATAACCCAAACTCCCTGTTGTAATAAATAGAAATAACTTCTTACAAGACAGAAAAGACAAGAGCAGGTTATTAGCTTCGTGTTAAATTAAACGTTGAGGATATCAAGTGCACTCACCATGGCTTTGCAGAACTTAACTACAAATTGATAATTGGAGGACTGTACAGGGGAGATTTATAAAATCACAAAATGGTAATTAAACCTACCTCTCTCTCAATTTTAGTTCTCATTAGAAAACCATGCTTCCATACAACATTTAACTATGAGCAGTCCTCCATAAAGATGTCAGATGGTGAATAGTTTTCTTTTATTTTTTTATAAAGGGAAATGTTTCAAAAAGGTGCTCAACCAAGTTTGAAAGCCTTCATAAAAGTGCTGAGTAGACATTAATAACCTAACCATACTCCCTTGCATAGCAGAACACAGAATCTCGTGCTAGGCAAAGACTGGAGTTCCTGATGGGATTGATCCTGCACAACTGGCACTGTTACAGGTGCCACACAATACCTGTAATAAACCAACCTATTATTGTAGTGCCATCGACACTATGGAACTCGCTGCCTATTGATATCAGGCAGACACCTTCACTGTATTCTTTTCGGGGCCTGCTAAAAACATTTTTGTTTAGACAAGTCTACTGAGATATTTAGAATGCTGATGTGTTTTTAGTTTATTGCTGGTTTTGATTTTTTGAATGTTCGGTGGGTGATAAGAGGATGAACAAAGAAAGCTGGGTTTGGCTCTGTATGGTCTCAGTTTATATTGTTTATTAACAAAAGTACAGTAATCTCCATTCTGTCTCAGTCACAGCAGCCACTATGGAGATATTATCTTAACGCCTTAGACTTAAGTATACCCTGCGGGTGTGAGCTGAAAATGTAATGTAAAAGATTTTCCAAGTTTGTTTTGATGCCATGTGGATGACTGCATAAAAGTCTTAACATATGTGCATATATCTCTTTGGAAGACAACACTTTGTGTTTGGCAATTAAAAACAAAATTCAACCAAGTTTGTAATTAAAAACAAACACTTGCATTGGACCATTAGGGTTTTTTGTTTGTCTGTTTTACAAAATATTGAGTAAAGGCCAAAAGCTACATTATAGATCACCTGGAGCGTTATGGTTCCTAACACTTTTCTAGTTGTTTCTTAACTGCTCCAGAACACAAAGACCCAAGGAAGCAGATATTGCTGACATCTTGCATAAGCATACAGCAGAACTACATGGGCAGAAGTTTTATCAGCAAAATTAGCTGTCCCACTTCTGGATGCAGAAACTCTTTCAGAACAAATGCTGAAATCTGGTTATATCGAGAGCCCAACTGCTAACTCCTTTGTATGACTAGCTTGCCAACACATGGACATAAGAAAATGTTATGCCTGTAATGTAAATTATGTCTGTAATGAGAATTAAGAATACATTTCTGGACCTCCCAGCAACCAAAGACCACTGGGCAATGCACACACAAAAATCAAATACAATTCAATCAGTAAAACAATCACAATACAAAAATGATATAAAAACTCACAGCGCAACATAACAGTACCAAAAAGAAGCCTAAAAAGTGACCATAATAAAAATTAACAAAAAAACCAGCCTAAAATCCAGCAAATGGGAAAACTATTTGTAACCAGATCTGAATGCACTGAAACATAAAACATAAAAGTATGGCAGGGTAAAAAAGATCTTCACCTGGCTTCTCTGGGGCTGATAAGAGCTGTGGCCCAAAACTTCAGACTAGAAAAGGCTGCTGTAGAGAGACACGCTATAGATGCGATGTAAAATCAGTGCATCTATAGGGCTGTTTGCATCCCTGTGGCCTGGAAATTTGTCACATTACTCCTTTCAGAAGTGTCTGCCTGGCTGTACACTTGTAGCACAAACCCTTGCTTTATTTTGCTATGGCTGCTTAGCCAAACTCTCCACACATGGTTTGGCCCCATGGTTATACCGCAGTAGTCACTACCCTAATCAACAAGTCCAGCGTTTCAAGGAAAAGATCACCTGGCAAATGAAACACAACACCAGGAAACAAGCATATCCAATTAACAGCACTGTGCCCTATTAAGGAGGGATTAAAAAGGGATAATGGCTAATAAGACTTATTCACAACTCAATTACCAGCAGATGGGTAAGGAAACTTAGCAAGCAATACACATAAATCCTTAGTAGAAGGACGCTGTGCTCCACCCAGAGAGGAAAAACAGAAGTAACACAAAGCCCTTATTTCCTGTTCACAAGTTGCCATTTAGTGACACAACCTAGGGGAAGTTGCTTTACTCATCTCTGCAGGATAGGGCCCTAACTGCAGTGGCAGACTTTGGGCTCTCAAATTTCAGAGGTGCCCTATGCAACACTAAAATTTGGCATCCCCTGGCCTCTTGGCTCCATTCTACAGCATTGTTGTGGCGCCCCCTGCAGCACGGTACCCGGTGTGGCTGAACCAGTTGCGCTACCCTTAAAGCGCAACCTGCTAAATGGTCCTCACCCAAAATACCACATTCACTTGAAAGCTAGGTATGCTGGTGAAACTGCACTGGGACATGTTGGCTCCCCTGCAAAACAGAGGGGAGAAAGGAAACTAAGTTATGCTGTGTAGGAGAGTCACAATTCAGTGCCTTGCATCTCCAGGTACCAAGGCTTGGGTAGGAGGCAATGGGAGAAACCTCTGCCTATGAACCTAGACAGCCACTGCCAGTCAGAATAGACCCGAATGACCTAGGAGCAGGTTTCTCCAACCAGGCACCCTTGAGACTCCCTTCATCCTTGATTAACGATGGGGGATAAATCAGTCTGGCTCACATTTTAATGCAAATCTAATTGGCACTTCTCAAACCAACACACAAACCAAAATGCACCTCTTCAAATTTTGCATTGCAGCTTCGAAAACAATAAATGTGCACAAAAAACATATTATTAGGGGTAAGCGCACACAAAATTTCCTACATTGGTGAAAATGACATACAAAAATGCATTACAGTGGTACCTCAGGTTACGTACGCTTCAGGTTACAGACTCCGCTAACCCAGAAATAGTGCTTCAGGTTAAGAACTTTGCTTCAGGATGAGAACAGAAATTGTGCTCCAGCGGTGCAGCGGCAGCAGGAGGCCCCATTAGCTAAAGTGGTGCTTCAGGTTAAGAACAGTTTCAGGTTAAGAACAGACCTCCGGAAAGAATTAAGTACTTAACCCGAGGTACCACTGTATATTGCTTGCAAACATGTGTGTGTTAGGCAAAACACTTTACAAAAATGTGTGTTTTAGATTAAATGCGCAAGAAAATGTATATGAATTTTTATTCAGACTTTTAAACAAAATTGTAAACTGGTGCAAAAGTGAGGAGAGCTAAACTTAAGACTGGAAAAATGGGAAACAGAGAAAAAGCAAAGTTGGCAAGATTCATCCCTCCCCAAACCATTGGGCCATGCTGCCTGGGGATGAGGAGAATTGGGAGTCCACCAACATCAGGCTGGCGAAGACTAGGCCAAATGAACAAAAGGCATGATATGGGGAACACAAACCCATGTTCACCTGCTATTCTGATAAAAGCAGCTGGGTGCACTTCCAAGTTCCAAACATTTGTTTGAATATAGTACCTTAGCACAGCCCTCACGACTTTGCTCAAGACAGAAAGGCCGTTGTGCTGCTGTTCTTCAGGCGATGCCGGGTGGCAGGAGTTCCACGTCCCCTTGTGAGCCACGCGGTGCTTCCCATTTTCCCTGCTGGATGACGGAAATTGCAACGAAGCGTGTAGAGAAGCTGAAGGAGGCCGGGGAATCTTCTGGTGCACCCCTCCGTTTTTCCTAATTGAGAGAGGAATCAAAGCTTTTTATTAACAGGCAGGTTTCCACATACATCAAGTGGGGGCTACCTACAGCATTTATTCGGTTCCACCTGTGTGAAAAGCGGTGTTAGGATGATCCCACACCCAATATCATTTCTCAGACACCGTGACAAGAGTGCTCCTCTGAGCCATTCTCTATGGCTGAAAATGAATCGCAGAAAGGCATCAAATACATGAACATTCCCCACACCTGGGATAAATAATTGGCAGTTCTATGAAACAGGCTTGTGTTCAATGTCAGTGCTACTAACGAGTGTCCATTAATTCCAGTGGGTCTGAGTGGAGCTTAGCTGACCACAACCCAGCAAAAATTTAATTCACTTTAATATAAATTTACAAATGTGTATGTATACCATTATATACTTTATGATTTGCTGTAGCTTGTACATTTGCTGCTGCTCTAATGGCTTGATGTCTGTTGCAGCTGTTGGTGCTGTTTCCATTATCGATCTTAAGTGTTGTTATCAGTGTAACTAGGTTATTTTATTTGGATGGAGAAATCCATCTCAATAAAGAGTGCCAGGGAAGAAGTATAGACATAAAATACTGAGCACTATAAACTGCAGCATTCATGCTGGATAACGTTAGCGCGGATATAAAGTTGTGCCACACCTGGGCCACACAGCCTAATTCCTGGGAGCTCTACAATACAGATGTGGCAGCTATATAATGTTATCGAAGCAATAAAACACAATAGTTAGCATCTGTCAATGCAGGGAGCCCATCTAGGAAAGCAGTTGAAGGAAAGAAAGATTTTCACTGAACAGTCCTAAATACGTATCAGACAACCAAGTTCTAAGGTTTTTAGGGATGATTCTGTCCAAATGGAAACACTGTGAAAACTAGCTAATATTTTCTTCCAGGTAGCTTGGGACAGCATAGATGGTTTTTCCTCCAGCCACCCAGAACCTTTATTCTCACAACAACCTAGTGAGGTAGGTATGGCAGAGAGACAGTGACTGACCAAGGTGACTCAGTAACTATGTGTGGTTAGGTGGGGATTTGAACCCAAATTTATTTGGACCCAGTTCAACACTAACCATTTCTCTATCTCCCCCCCCATCCTGTGTTGTTCTATGGGTTCTCTCGACATCCCCTAGAACCAACTGGGGAGGGACACGGGGGCAGTGCACAAAGGGAGAAAGGGGGAAGCCCCAATTGGACTAGTGGAAGCACTTGCCTCATATCTCAAGTTTTAAAAATACTAGAAACTTCCTGTTTTAAAAAAATGAAAGCTGGGGATCTGGAAATTCTTGCTGATCCAGCGAGGGCAACTGCCCCACGTCACCCCACTGTGGACACCCATGTACTGAATGTATTCATGAGCTGGTACATTTTGCGTGCATCTATGCAAGATAGATATAGCCCAAACACTTAAACATGCAAGTTATGTTTACTTACATTCTGAGTCTATTTTGAGAAAGCAAGAAGCCATCATACACCAGGCAAACACCAAACACGGTGATCCCAGTTTCCTTCACCAGCATTGCACAGGTCCCAAGAAATAAACTAAGCAGCAAAAAGGAGGGGGAGGCAGTGGGGGGGAAATGTTCCCCAACATAAAGCTGATCCACACTCCTGCAAGGCAGAATGGAAATGGGAGAAATTACTTCAAAAAACCAAACGGCAAATGCATTTTGCTTCCTATTTGTCCATTAAGCAGATTTCATTCCCGTAAGTTATAAAACCCCCTCCCTAGTACACTGTTAATAAACAAGACTGTTTGCATCAGCAAAGTTGAAAAACAAGAACGTGCTTCTGTTAAATAAGCAGAGCGATAAGGCAAAAAGAAGAATGGGCAAAAAAGGAAGTTATCGTAAAAGGAGGAGGCGACATATGGTTCCTTATAGAGTTACACAGACAGCATGCACATGTCTTTCCTCCCCCAAGGAGCATACAATCAACAACGGACAATAGGTGGGAAGAATATGGGCAAATGCAACTACACAATAGCCCTATTGTGTAATTACATTTGCCCGTGTATTTCCCCCTCCACTACCATTGTACAGGCACTTTTCATGAGAAACTAGCCTGTTTCCCTTTTCAGTGTTTTACCTTGCCCCCCTCTCCAAAAAATTCCTATGGATTCCCATGAATTGGTGCCTACCCAAGATATACCTTGGCACCAAACAGTTGTGTACACGTGAGCTAGGAATTGCTCTCCAGCCCAAGCCTTCCTGTTGTTGGAATACAGGCACTGTACAATTAAGGCCACTTGAGCTTCCAAACTGTATTTGGTCCAAAAAGGAAGCAGGGGGATATTCATTCTTGGGAAGTGATCATCTTCCCCTGACCTAAGGTTAAACTACAACCAGGAGGGGCAGTGGGGGTGTGGCGTGTATGTGCAGTCCCCCACCCCTCCAGATAGTATGACTACATATGTTATTTGAATGCATGAATAAGGCTATTTAGCCTCACATCTCATGTTCCACAAGTGACAGAAACTTGGGGGATCCAAAGAGTATGGTTCATCAAGGGGGAGTGGGAGACCACGTCCCTTCTGCCCTCTGCCATGTGGACACCTATGGGAATCACAGTTCAGTGGTGGAACACATGCTTTGCCTGCAGAAGGTCATTAGAACATAAGAGCCTATAGCATCAAGCCACTGGCCCATCTTGTTTAGCAGCCTGTTCTTGCAGTGACCAACCCGATCCCAAAATCAGGACTTTAACACAACAGCACTCTCTCCACCTGCAGTTCCCTCCCAAGTGGTACTCAGAACCGTGGAGGTAGAACACAGCCACCAGGGTCCAAGTTTAGGGCTTCAATCCATAGCATCCTCAGTTAAAAAGCACCAGGGAACAGGTACTGGGAGATATCTCTGTCTGAGAACTAAACAGTTTCTGCCAATTCAGAGGGGACAATACTGGGCAAGAGGGACAAACTGTCTGACTTGATTTAATAAGGCAGATTTCTATGTCCCAGTATAATCTTTATTGTCACTTCCTATACTTAACCTAAATTGGTTGTCACTACAAATGCCGAACTAGCAGGTCTATGGGGCTTTCATCATAGAGATGTTAAGGGTTGAACGATGCCCCTGTTTGCATTCAGAGAAAATCATGGCTTATGACAGCTTTTCAATTCCGTATCAGAAATCTAGCGTGTCCCTGTAGCCCTTCCTTAGAGAGCCCCCACCCAGTGGAAGCATTTCCTGACGGAAATACAATATAAACTGACCGCCACTAACTTTATTCCAATGACATTTCCTGGAACAAAGGACAATAAGAGTTTGCAACAGCTTCTTTCATTTATAGAAACTTCTGTGGTCTATTTAGGATGGTGTTAGCAATGTGAATTCCTGCCAACCTAGCAGTTCGAAAGCATGTCAAAGTGCAAGTAGATAAATAGGTGCCGCTCTGGCGGAAAGGTAAACGGCGTTTCCATGTACTGCTCTGGTTCGCCAGAAGCGTCTTAGTCATGCTGGCCACATGACCCGGAAGCTGTACGCCGGCTCCCTCAGCCAATAAAGCGAGATGAGCGCCGCAACCCCAGAGTCGGTCACGACTGGACCTAATGATCAGGGGTCCCTTTACCTTTAGCAACATCTAGGGGTGGTCAGAAACAAAGCGTGGGATTTAATACTATACTCTTCCAATTGTTTCATTGGCACAAGCATTGCAGCTTGCCAGATGAAGCAATCCCCTTCTCCTTCTCCGCCTGCTATTCTGGGGGTTCTCCCAACCCCATCAGAGCCATTTTTGGGGGGGAGCATAGGGAGAGACCCCCATTATGCAAATCCTTCTGCTGCTGGGGCTGGTTAGGTGAATCCCGCCCTATACGTTTAAGTTTTTAGTACAAAACAAAAGGGACCATCAACATAATGTTGCAGCGTAGACTGTCCCAGTTCAGCATTTTAGCCACAGCCGCCCTGTTCCAGGCATATTCTGCTCCATTCTTTCTCCATCACCATTTCTCATTCTTTTGTCTCCTCCATTAGTCAGTCAACATTCTGCACTCACCAAATATGCTCATCTTGGGATTTTCCAAGAACACAGGAACAACATAGGAAGCTGCCTTATACCAAGTCAAGTCATTTGTCCACCTAGCTTAGTATTTTCTACAATAACTATCAGCAGCTCTCTGGGGTTTTGGGCTGGATAAATTCTCAGCTCCACTTGGAGATGCCAAAGATTAAACCTGGATCGTTCTGCAGATGCTCTGTCAATGAGGTACGGCCCTTCCGTGGCAGGGAGGGAGTTTCTAATAGTGTTTTGTGTTTCTGCAGACCCTGGCATTCTCCCAAGCCTGCTAATCCACCCTTCATGTACATGGGTGGTACAACTGCAGATCAGCACTCACCTCTCAACACTGGAAATAGATGGAACGATATAGGTGACATCATGAGATGGAAGGGTTAAGGACAAAATCAGGGATCATGTAGTGAGGAAGGGAGATGACAGCACAATTCAAAGGGCTATGTAGACAATTGGATTTGGCGACCTAGTATCACCGAAGCATAGCTGCTTCACTGTGAAGGAACTCCTCCCTGCATTGCCAAGACAACCAGACAAGGCTACCTGTCTTCTTGCACTGTGCTACAGAGGCAGTTTTATTGCTTGTTATGCTCCCAGCACAATGCAGCAACAGAATGAGCTTTGCCTGGTTATTTGGGCACCATGCAAACATTCCTGGTCCTGTTGCACCCCTAGTGTGGTAATAGAACCACCACTCTCACAATCCAATTCCAGAAGACAGGATCATTGGGCTAATCTGGAAATCCGGGGGGGGGGGGGGCAAAGTAGATGTGCTGCAGTCCCAGTCAGGGAAGGAACAACAGCTCAGCAGGAGAGCATCTGCTCTGCATGCAGAAGTTCACAGGTTCACTCCCCAAGCATCTCCAGGTACGACTGGGACAGATGTCCTTCCTGAAATGGGAGATTTGCTGCTAGTCAGTGCAGACAATACTGGGTTAGATGGGCCCAAGGGTCTGACTCAGTATAAGGCAACTTCCCTTGTCCCTGCACTCCCTCCCCCTGCCTTCCTGCCACATTCACATGTACACCCGATTTCAGCTCATTTCTATAAACTATGGAGACAAATAGCTCACATGTTGTGCTTGAGGGTTTTTTTAAAGAGTAACCGAACATACATCTGAATGCTCCCATCAACAGAAGACTGGCCTAGTTGCCGAGGTCTTGGAATGACATTTTGAGCCCACACAAACCATTACTGAAGGAGCCTTTGAAGCCCTTTTAAAGCTACTCTCAATTGCTGAAAGTGGGGACACTTTTCAAAGGACGTGAAAATGTTCAGTGAACTCATCCCCATCCGATTTCAGCTCAGCTTCTCTAAACTCTTAAGACAATGCACGTTTTGCGTGAGACTTTAACAGAGTAACTGAATCCCCATCAAAGACACTGAGTCTCTCTATATACGCTGGAAAGATTTAGAAACTTGACCACAATCATGTTTGATGTTAAAAGTAAAAAAGCTTTTAAAGGGGAGTAAGCACTCTGCAAGCCGTTTGTCTTCATTGTTGTTAAGTGCCCGCAAACAAATAGTTTTAAGAGCATGCAAATTGTGATTCGTTGCTTACAGCAGAGATTCTGTGAAGCATTCGTAGTAATTACAGGACTCATTTATTTAACTATGTAATACCCTTCACTTCAGTGGGATTATTAGATATTTCATCATGTAGCCAATTCAGCCACAGACTCAAGGGTCTAAGGCGAGTGGCGTGATTCTACACAATGGTTCCATGCCGACGTGGAATTAGTTTATCTAACTTGTTTAAATATGTGCAGCCCCACTGCCCAGCCATAAAGGCTCACAAAGTGGCTTGCATATAATCAGAGGAACCAAGACCCGCAGGCATTACAATCTGAAAGACAGAGAGCAAAAGAAAAAAAAGGATGCTGAGGGAAGAGGGGTGGGATGGGGAAACCAAGAAGGCACCCATTCTTAAAAAAGTTAAATAGCAGTTCTTATAATGATTGGTTGCAATGGAAACAATTTAAGGAAAGGAGGAGCCTAGCTGAGAGTTCATCCACACTTTTGTCTGTGCCGTGATTTGTAGGCACAGTTCCAAGGGGAGGTTTTTGTTGTTGTTGTCCCACCATTTCCCCTGGGAGCAGGCTCTGCTTCCTGTCTCTCTCACTGCTAGAATTCCAGGCCACATCTGGCGCCTGAGTGACCCAAAGGCCTTCCCAGATTCACTGAGGCAGAAAGCTCTGTATGTGCAAAGGGATGCTTGCACAGGTCTCCCCCCACAGCTGGAATGAAGAGGGAAGCCTGCCTGTGCGAGAGCTCTATGCATTCTTCACAGTGCTTAAGAAACTCTAAATGGGTTTTTCCTCTCTCTACTCCACAGGCACTGATGATACAGGGCAGTTTTCCACACCCCCAAAATGGTACCATACCACATAACCAGGACAGCAGTTAACATCTCTGGAAAAAGCAGGTGCTTCCCACCCTCTTCCTTTGTTTTAATTAAAGAAAAGGCAGCTCAGTGGAGGGGGATAATATAGAGCACAGAAGCAGCAAGATGGCTTGACCCTTTCCTTGAGAGATCCAGCTTGCTCCTCCCCAAACCCCAACCATGAAGCTCAATAAGTGAGCTTGGGCCAGTCACTGCCTCTCAGGGTTGTTGTTGTAGGGATTAAATGAGGAGGGATGCACAAGCTGCTTCAAGCTCCTTGGGAGAAAAAGGTGGGACATATTTTTTTAAGAACCCCATAAAACAAAAAGAGTCATACCTATTATAGGAGAGAAAAGCCAAAAGAAATAGTAGACAGGCCAAGACATCTGCTCTGCCAACTATACCCGTTACCTAAGAAGGGATGGGAAAAGAGAAACATTGTTAGAATTGTAATTAAATAAGGAAACTATACAGTATTTCAAAGCTACAGCAATGACTAATGTTGTTGCATAGGACTGCAGTAGGACATACTCCCAAAAGCGCATGGTGAGAATTGAAGCCTTAGTTTTAACTAGAGGTTCATTTTCTGTATCCTCCCCTCTCCCCTCAACTTTGCCATAAGAAAAGCTGCAGCCCAAAACATCTGGAGGGCAGCAAATTGCCTAGCCCTGGCTACCATGGCATGCAAATTAGGCCAATGAGGCCCTGAAGGATGAATGAAGTGTTTCTAGAAATGGCACACATAAATAAAATACGTGAGTTATTTCAAGAGGAGTTTTAGGGGAAATGTGAGTTCAAACTGAGAAATATATTGGATTTACATTAGAAACAGACACACAAACATTCCTTGAAAGGGCTGATTCACCCCACCCTAGGGAGGTGTGTGTGTGGTGGATAAGAATTGCATTTCTGGATCTAAGATCAATCCATTCCATCATTCTGTCTCCAGCAGCGATCAGCAAAACACCCCTTGGAAATTCGTATGCAGGCCATAGCAGCAATATCCATCCTGTTGCTTGCCCATCGCATTGTAAGTAACCAGAGGTATATGCTTTCAAATACGGAGGCTCGATTTCAGCTCCAATTTCCCCCCAGCATGTGGTAAACTCTCAATCCATGCTGAAACGGAAGGCGGACACACGTGTGTAAGGGAGGGAAAGCACACACAACGTGCAATGTGTGCACCGATAACCTGACAGCTTGCTGTTGCTGTTAAGGAATACAGCTTTGGAAGGGGCTGTTATTTTGAGCAGAGAAGTGTACAAAGAAGGCCCACAACCTCTTTCCCCAGGTCAAAGTGTCCTTCAATTTGGCCTTTTCTTCCACATGGATTCTGTGGCCCTCCAGATGTTGATTGGAACATGGCCAGGGATGATGGGAGATGCAGACTAGCAACATCTGTAAGGCATCCAGGAAGCCAGTGGGTGGAATGGGGAAATATTGGGCACAGTTCCCCTTCATCGCCCCTTCTCTGCCCACAGTAATATCCACTGGAAACAGCTTTTCCATAGCCAAGGAGAAAGGCTGCCAGGCTACCAAGGCACTCCTAGGCATGTAAAATGTGGTTTGGGCCTGAGGCTACTTCAGGTCAGCTGAAGGAGGAAGAAGGGCAAGGGATAAAAATAACTTGAGGAGCAGTTTGCAAAGATGCAGACGCTCCAGAGATGAACGTAACTCTACAAGGACACATCCACATCATACATTTAAAGCACATTTAACACAAGTCCGTCCCCCCCATAACAGTGAATCTTGGGAACCACAGTTTGCTAATGGTGCTGGGAGTTGTGGCTCAGTGAGGGGTAAACTACAGTTCTCAGGGTTCTCTGCAGGTAGCCATGTGCTTTAAATGTATGCTGTGGATTCATCCAGTACAAGTCTACAACACTCTTTCTATATGTAGAGAAAGAGAGAGAGATTGTCTTTCAAAAATAAAGCCCTCCCCTGTACGCTAGCACAGTAATTCCTAACTATGATAAAGTTCACCAACAAAAGGTTAGGCAATTCTCAGTTCGTACATAAATTTTGACTGTCATGAACTACTGCCATTTCCCGAGTCTCAAAACCTGGCAAATTCCTTAATGAATTTATTTGTGTTATTTCAACATGTTATCCCCTCTCAAAAATCAAGAAATTAAAAGCACCTCTCTTCAGCTATGTCAGAAGAGGAAGAACATGCAACTGGTAGGTCCTCTGTGTGGGGAACACGGAGAAATGCTATTGGGTGACAGAGAAAAGGCGGAACTACTCAACACCTACTTTGCCTCTGTCTTCACCCAAAAGGAAAGTGATGCCCCAACCTGGTGATACCAGAATAAATGATGTAAGGAGGGAGCTGAAGCCCATGATAGGAAAAGAGGGAACATCTAGCTACTTTAAATGAATTCAAATCTCCAGGGCCTGATGAGCTGCATCCAAGGGTACTAAAGGAGCTTGCAGGTGTAACTTCACAGCCTTTGTCTATTATCTTGGAGAATTCTTGGAGAACAGGCGAGGTCCCTACAGACTGGAGGTGGGCAAATGTTGTCTCCATGTTCAAAAAGATGAAAAAGGAAGACCCAAGTAACTACTGACCGGTGAGTTTGACATCAATACTAGGGAAGGTCCTAGAACAGATAATTCAACAGTTGGTCTGTGAGCATTTAGAAAAGGATGCTGTGATTACTAACATCCAGCATGGGTTTCTCAAAAATAAGTCACGCCAGACCAATCTGATTTCTTTTTTTGATGGAATTACAACCTTGGTGGATCAGGGAAATGCTGTGGACATAGTGTATCTTGATTCAGTAAGGCTTTTGACAAAGTCCCCCATGATATTCTCGCGAGGAAACTGGAAAAATGTGGGTTAAACAAGGTAACTGTTAGGTGGATTGGTAGCTGGTTGACCGACCAAACCCAAAGAGTACTCATTAATGGTTCCTCGTCATCCTGGAAAAAAGAGGCAAGCGGGGTGCCGCAGAGTTCTGTCCTGAGCCCATTGTTGTTCAACACCTTTATAAATGACTTGGATGAAGGAATTGAGGGGATGCTCATCAAATTTGCAGATGACACCAAGCTGGGAGAGCTAATGCCTCAGAAGACAGAATCAGAATTCAAAATGACCTTAATGGATTGGAGAACTGGGCACAAGTTAACAAAATGAATTTCAACAGGGACAAATGTAAGGTTCTACACTTAGGCAGCAAGAACCAGATGCACATATATAGGATGGGGGACACCTGGCTTACTAGCAGTACTTGTGAAATGGATCTAGGTGTCTTGGTGGACCACAAGCTTAACATGAGTCTACAGTGTGATGCAGCAGCAAAAAAAGCTAATGCTATTCTAGGCAGCATCCACAGAAGTATAGTGTCCAGATCAAGGAAAGTAATAGTACCACTTTATTCTGCCTTAGTCAGACCACACTTGGAATACTGTGTCCAATTCTGGGCACCACAATTTAAGAAGGATGTTGAAAAGCTGGAACATGTGCAGAAGAGGGCAAGCAAGAAGATCAAGGATCTGGAAACCAAGCATTATGAGGAGCGCTTGAAGGAGCTGGGTATGTTTATCCTGGAGGAGACTGGGAGGAGCTAGGATAGCCATCTTCAAATACAGAAGACGGAACAAGCTTGTTTTCTCCTGGTCTGGAGTGTAGGACTCGAACCAATGACTTCAAGTTGAAAGAAAGAAGATTCTGACTAAACATTCAGAAAAACTTCTTGACAGTAAGAGCTGTTCAGCAGTGGAACAAACTCTCATGAGAGGTGGTGGACTCTCCTTCCTTGGAGGTTTTAAAACAGAGGTTTAGCTGAGATTCCTGTCACAGATGCTTTAGCTGAGATTCCTGCATTGCAGGGGGTTGGACTAGATGACCCTAGAGGTCCCTTCCAACTCTAAGATTCTATGATTCCATGAAACCTGGCTCATATCACAAGTTCATTCATCTTAAGAATCCAGGCATTTGCTTTGTTCTCTGCTAATTCTTACCTTAAAATAAAATTTCAAAGAACGAGTTTTCCACCCCCCTCCCTTTCTAACTTTAATGATCCCACACATACTAAAATGGTACATTATTTAAAGACTGGCTGATTAAGGCCTGAAACGCTTCGGAGGCATCTAGAAAGCTCAAGGCTCCTTTGTTATTAAAGAGCTAATCTTTCCTGAAAGGAACTCAGCAAAGAAAGCCATTTCACTCTTCCCCATCTTAAAATATTCCACACTGGCCAGGCCTCCAACGAAGTACCGGTTCGGAGGGAAATGTTGTGTAAATAATGCTGGCGATGACAAACTTCACCTCTGAATTGTGAGGGATATTTCCTAAGCATCTTAAAGCTACATCTTAAAGCTAGCTAAAAGCCTATGGCTTTCGACAGAATGGGGAAGTTCCAGGAGCCTCTGATACCTGTTAAGACTTCTCTCTCCATGAACTCCATGCAGTTCTGTTCCTCTGCCACATGGAATGCTGAGAGGGTTGTGTGGACTCTCAGGCCACCGATGCACTCAACATTTAAGAACACAGGAGGAGCCCGCTGGATCAGGCCAATGGCCCTCTAATCCAGTGGCCAATATGATGCCCATGGGAAACTCGCAAGCAGGATCCAAACACAAGAGCCCTCTCCCCTCCTGACAGGCCTTGAAATGAGATCTTCCAATGGAGTTACACCCTTGAAACAACAGTGTTCCTAGTTATCCCGGCTTTTAGAATTCTGACTCCAGTTCCTGAAACTGCATCGGATTTAAGTCAAATCAGAAATATTTTATCCACCCCTCGAAAAATAAAATAGAATATTGCACTCTTGGCAAACTTCAGTCAATGAACTGCAGTGTAATGGCTAAAAGACTATAAATCAGGAATCTCCAGGTAGGACTAGGAGAGACACTAGTCTGAAACCCTGGAGAGTTTCTGCCAGACCATACTGAGCTTGATGGACCAAAGGTCTGATCACTGAAACATAAAGGCAGGTTTTTATGTTCCTAAATTCACCATATAGTTCAGACAGTCTCAGCTCTTCATTTGCAATATGAGAATAATTATACTGACCTTCTTTACAGGGAAGTTTTAGGGATTACAATGTAATATCTAAGTGCCCTGAACACTCTGGCAACAATACCCTAGTACACTAGTCTATGCAGAAATAAGTTCCATTGAGTTCACTGATACTTACTCCCAGGAAAGGAATGAAATCTTTTTTAAAAAATCAGTATATAAGATATATTAGGGGAGCAGGGCTTAATATTAGCTGTGACATGCTGTTGCCAGCTCGTTTTAGAAATCAGCACTCTAGTCACTTATAAATGAATCACAATGATTAACTGATCAATGTTTTCAGCTCTTCCAATTTGTAACCATACACACGATGCAATCTGTGGGCATGTTGCAACATTCATTATTCTCTCAAGACGTAATAAAACTTGGAGAGCTTGTTGAATGCTGGGTTACTTCTTTGTGTTAAGAGAGAGAATGCTATAGGAAGAAAAGGAAGCCAAACAATGTCTCAGCAGGACAGACATCTCAGAAGGAATTTTTAAAAAAATATATATGTATTGTGCAACTGCTAAGCGTCTCATTATTCTTTGGCGAAAAATCCTTGGTATTCGTTCCTAGCAACACTGCGTTAGGCACTTAATCAGGATCATAATTCTAGCACAAAGGCATGTATGCTTACAACTAAGCAAACCTTCTCAGGCCTAGGAATTATCATGGGGAGAGAAAATTAATTCTTCCCCTCCCTTGCCACACCAGTCCTTTTCTCTAAATACGGTGGTGCAATTCTCGCTCATCTTTTGACGCAAGCGTGCCACAGTTATCATTACTAAGCTGCTTTCTACTGAGTCAGCACAGCTCTTATCGTGGAAAAAGGGTAGATTTCCAATTACTGGGGAGGTCTGTGCTTCCACGAAGCTGGATTACAAGCCCCTTGCCCCTTTAGCGGCTTCTCCTATATACATACGGCCTCAGTGTGAATGGGGTGGACAGCGAAGAAGAGGGCCGTGACGAAAGCCAGGTGGCTGTCCTTGAAGACGGCTTTGTCACAAGTGTACATCAGCACAAGGGTCACCAGGCAGTGCAGGACTACATTCACGGCGTGGAAATAGAAGGGGTTCATCCCAGCCAGCAATACGTTCAGCCTGTTTTTAAAAAAGAAAGAAAGCAAAACCAGAACAGTAATAAGATACCGAGCAGGAAACGGGAGTTTTGGGGAAGACAGAATATCAATTGACACATATTTAAGACGGCTTCAAATGAAGTCCACAGAAGTTACCGCCGTATAAATATTTTACTGCCTGGTGATCACACATACACCATGCCTCTGGGACAGGGCAGGAGCAATTTGCAAGCCTGGCTGCAGGTTGCACATGCTACGTTGGTTTCTCATCCCCTTTGGTTTCTGCATAGATGGAAGTGGAAGGAAAGAGCTCATCAATGTACCAGTCCACTAGAGAATCCAGATTGCAGCAGGCAAGGCTTTGCAAATTTAGTCAGGAGATGGTTGTCACTGCTGGGTGGGGGCAGGACAGGGTGGGGAGAGGCTGAGAGCAAGTACAAAGAGCCTAGGGCTTAAGGGCTGGCAATTTACTCTCTCCACCCAGTTGCCAGAAAACTGCTTTTTGACTTTTGTCTTAACTTATTTCCCCTTACTGGCTGCTTTGCAGATTTTTAAGAACCACCATCTGATTTCCCCACATCCTTATTCATTGGTTACTATTTCTATAGTAGCTGCCCTTCAGTACTACTGCTACCAGGGCAGCAAGCCAGTTGTTGTAACAATTGAACACAGGCTTCAAACAGAATTTTGTTTGTGATTAAAACAGGAGGGCAATTAAACAAAAGGGGGAGGGAGGAATCACAGCAGAATGAAAGCTAAGAGAGCTAGCAGAGGTTTAAAGTACTGGATAAATAAAAAAAAATCTCCAGCCAGCTCTGGAAAGACCCAAGGCTGGTACCTGCTCTCAGGAGCAGTGATGGGATTTTCATCAGGAAAGGGGTTTTGCAATGCAGGACGACGTGTTCAAGGGCTGGCTTCCTACCGTTAACCATGATTAACAGAGAGGATGAGTCATGTCTGACCTGCTCTAAAAAGGCATTGGTCTATCAATTAAAATATAACCATGAGGTAGGCTGAGGTAAGGCAATTCCAATAATGTGATTACTAACAGCCTTGTACACAGAATGTATCAGGAATTCTAAGAAACCAGAAAATCTGCAATTTTGAAACCAGTGGTTAATATCAGTGCTCTTTTGAGAGGTTCAGTCCGCCATCTTGATTCAAGATGGTGTCCAATGGTATCCAAGCATAGACTTGGTGTTATAGAGGTGGACCTTTCCGCAAGCGGCACTCCCTGCTGAGATACAAGAGGCTCCATCTGTTACTGGCATTCCAGGGATGTTCACTTGATCTCTCAACCCGAGTCCCCCACTTTAATCACTGTGTTGTTTTAATGAGATTATTGTCTTGTATATTTTACAGTAACAATAATTTTTATTATATGGTCACAGATCCAATTTAAAAACTGCATGTTTTAATTATAGCAGATAATATTTCAAATGTTATACCTTTAAACCACTTAGAAACCTATTCTGGCATTACAGTGGTACCTCCAGTTACAAACTTAATCCGTTCCAGAGGTCTGTTTGTAACCCAAAACCACTCGTAACATGAGGCGCGCTTTCACTAATGGCGCCTCCCACTGCTGCCGGCGTGCGACTTCCGCTCGCATCCCAGGGCAAAGTTCGCAACAAGGGGCATCTAATTCCAGGTTAGCGGAGCTCGTAACCCGCAGCGTTCGCAAGGAGGATGGTACATAACACAAGGTTCCACTGTAAAGGATATATTCACTAATTAATAAATAATATAAGTATAGTGTTATCCCCACGCTGCTACGGCTGCTCAGAACGGTAATAATATTGGTCTTCTGATCAAGTGGTGGGAGTCTACAGACCACCATGTCCTAGTATGGCAACATTTCACATGCCTGCTAAGAATGAGAATCCACCCTGGAAGTTACTACAATATAAGAGGAGTATAGTCACTGGGTTCACGTATCAATTCCAAAACCATTTTCCGATCGCACCTGTTGGGAAGGTTATTTTCTGCTATGCAGCACTGTATAGTAGGATTTCATCCCTGGTTAGATACACAACGCCAACATCAGTAAAGATGCAGAAAGAGGCAGAAGTCACCTAATCCTGCTCAGCAGGTAATTGCCAGTATATGGATCACTGACAATGATGGACTTTTTACTCCACAGCATTGTAGCACTTACCTTAAACAGCAGTGGCATTTTGCTGCAAGAATTTCATTTGTGCTACTTGTCTCTACTGAAAACAGGAATCATTACAATATAATATGCAATGTGTGCGCGCACACATGTGCACACACACACACACACACACAGTTAATTTATGGCTGTGCACCTGCAGTCCTTAATTAAAAACTCTGAAATAACAATAAAGTTCCCTAGAACATCTGGTATTTGGAGGGGAGGGGGAGTACGGCACTCCTATCGTTAGCCTTAAGAATCTGTACCAGATAAAGGGACAGCTTCATGGTGCCCAGGAGACAGGGCCAATGCACCCCAAATATTTATACCCCTTCTTTTTCCCTAATGGGACTTAAGGCGGCTTACACACAAAAATGAAAACAGATTTTTAAAAATAACCATTAAAAAACAATTAAACGTTGTCAGAGGTAAAACTATCTATCTATTAAAACCATCCAAATAAAAACAGCACAGCACCAGCCCTTTCATTAAAAGCAGTCATTTCCCAAAAGCCTGTTGGAACAAAAAATTCTTCACCTGTTGGCAGAAGGACAAGGAGAAAGCCAGTCTAGCTTCCCCAGGGAGGGTGTTCCAAATGTCCATTAACCGCAGCTTGCTTACGTGCCTTTGGTTCTTCAAGGGCAACCCTGAGACTAAAGGAGGAGAAAGCTGACAGGCAGAGCTACCCTCTGGACTAGTTGGAAGGAAGAAGCCAGATGTGCCCTGGCAGTGGGTAGGCTATGAATGGTGAGCCAATGCCCCATTCACTCTAATGCGGAAGCCCCCACCAATTGTGATGTAGTGTTGGGCCTCCCAAGAGTCAGCCAGCAACTCCTTACAATGCAAATTGCCACACACACAAAAACCATATGCACAAGACTAACATCTGCATATTTCCCTCTGCTAAAGGGAATATTCTCGGGAAGTACGGATGTCTATCTCTCATCCAGGTTTTGTGGAGGGTTTGTCTGTTTGGAATGGGGGGAGAATGTTTATTTCAAGTATTTGGAGGCAAAATCTCAGAGTCTCTAGGTTGATACAAGCACTTGGCCACAGCAGCTGAAATACACCCCCCTGTTTTCCATCCTCCATAACCACATGTCCATCTGGGATAGCTCGGTAGAGCATGAAGCTTTTCATCTCAGGGTCATGGGTTTGAGCTCCACATTGTGCAAAAGATACCTGCATTGCAGGGGGGTTGGACTAGATGACCCTCATGGTCCCTTCCAACTCTACAGTGTGGTGTAGTGGTTAAGAGTGGTAGTCTTGTAATCTGGTGAACCGGGTTCGCGTCTCCGCTCCTCCACATGCAGCTGCTGGGTGACCTTGGGCCAGTCACACTTCTCTGAAGTCTCTCAGCCCCACTCCCCTCACAGAGTGTTTGTTGTGGGGGAGGAAGGGAAAGGAGATTGTTAGCCGCTTTGAGACTCCTTAGGGTAGTGATAAAGCGGGATATCAAATCCAAACTACTCCTCTTCTTCTTCTTCTTCTTCTTCTTCTTCTTCTACAATTCTATGATTCAATGTCCTCTTTCAAGGCTCCAAATATATGGTTAAACACCTAACTAGATGCAAACGTAAGATTAAAGACCTTCACTGTAAGAGATTTCTGCTTTTTGCTAGATCCCTTAAAATGAACTGTCTAACACAGAGATGGGGAACCTGTGGTGGGATTTCACTGCATGGCCAGTGCTCAGGGATGATTTGGGGGGGGGGGGGGTGAACAGGTTTTCCATTCCTGTTCTAATACCATCTCAGTTTCAAAAAGAGTGTGTTTGGAGGTGAAATAAAAAAGCGAGAGAGACGTGTTTTGCAATCTTACAAAACCAAACTCTATCTACTCTACATTTGTCAACAGTACTGAGAACGGGTAGGAAAGGCGAGGTGCCGCTTTGCTTGTAGAAACAAGTTTAAAAAAACAGGAAAAAAATAATCCCATCTATTAAGCTGCCTAATGGGCAAATTACACATTATCCCAATTATATTAATGCACAGTTCAAAGCTTATTACTCGAAACCATATGCAGCTGCTTCTCTTGGATATTCAACAGATGTAACTAATGTCTAGTTCCCATGTCCCAGATTGTTGATTCCTTTCACAACCAGTTGGCAAAGTCTGCTTTTATGGAGAAAAGGTGCAAAATGATGGATAATGTGCAGCCTGGTAAAGATGCTTCTCTGGACGGCCTGCCAATGCAAAAGTAGAGGCTCCAAGTGGGAGGATACAGGAGGAAGCAACCCAAAATGGATTAAGACTATACACTGGCTGATTGCGGGCGCTTCCAAACTGCCAGTGCTTTGCCAGAGGGATTCAAACTCATACCAAGACATTTAGGTTTGGGCAATTAAAAGGGATTAAAGTGCTCTGCTACCCACCCTAGCACAACAAATCCACTTTAAAAAAGAAACTGAGTCTTTGCGGTTAGGAAAGTGACGGGGAATTGCATTGAATAGTGTGTGCATAGAGTGTGTGAACCAGTGATTAATAGGGAGACATATAAACACCCCAAAAGCTTTCAACACACCGTGACTCATCTCAAGAAAGCCATTCTTTCTTCCATGATCCTTCCCAGGCCTGAAATGTTCAGAAAGGGCCAAATACACACAATACTGTTGCCATTTTTGTAATACACAAATGAAACTGGTCTTAAAGATAAATTATCCAAAGCATCTTTGCAGATACAGCTATTCTGAACAGCACAGCTTGAACTATTCCTGCCCCCCGAAATGATTTATTTGTAATAGATTTAAAACATACAAACAAACAAAAAACTTTTATGCTGTCTCCAGAACTTTATATGCTGGACATTTGTATAATTTGTATGACTTAGTAATAACCTTTTATGTCAATGTAAAATTTGATACCTAT